CCTGACTTAATCAATGTCATACTGGTGGAGAACTTGAACACCTCAAGAGTGTAACTTAGTGATTCCCAAAATCTATGTGTGCAGAACTCTGTTGTGAAATTGATAAAAGACCAGACAGGATCTATCAATAATCAATACATTTAATTTACACACACACATTAATGTTTACAGTGACAACAGAAAATAGATTGGGTAAAATAACTGACATCAGCAATAAGTAACAGGCACTGTGATTTATCTAAGTGCACTCACGACTGTCCAGAATGTTGTCACTGCCAAATGTCTTGTAACAGGCGTCTGTCTATTCTTGTCTCCAGTTAAGTGTAGTTACTACAAGTATATTCACAACATCTACTGCCTCACAACAATCCCCTTGTTCATGAAAAGAAAGTTTTTAACACAAGGGACAACACCTATGAGTGTTAAAGTTTCAGAAAAAAACAGGTAAGCTTACAATTGGCATTGCTTGGCTTGGGCATCAAAATCAAAACACTTACAGCTCTCTAACTGTCAAATTATCAAAGAAGTTTGTGATGTCAGGAAAAGATGTCTTTCAAATCCAATGATATTTGAATTGCTAAAATGTGGTATGCAGTTTTCCTGCCAATAGTTGCAAACAGATCTAATTGTAAAATCCATATGTAGAACATCCCCAGGTATATCGGTATGTTAAGTGTATATATCAGTGAACGTGACATGAATATATTTACATAGCATCTGATGATATCAAAACAGTTATATCATGACAAAAATAAGTGCTATAGATAAGTATGCAAATTAAGCTCCATTTCCAACTGGAATTATGTAAATATGTAAATCGCCTAGTGCGGTTATGCGACAACATTGTTGAGATCTTGATATATATCTACATATGACATTGATAGCTTGATACAGAAGTATCAATTATTTGCTAGAACAATGTCAATAACTTGATATGACAATATTCAAAAGTCATATAACATGGAAAACTAATTCCATTTAACACTATCATCTACAACACAAAATACATGTTAATTTTGCCAAAACTAGAGCAAAAAAACTATAGTTGGTTCAGTTAAAAACCACATCCAAAGTCGAATCCATTTTGTCTCCTGTTTTTTTTTTAGTCAACTTGTAAACAAATCTTCTGACAGTCAAATTGTCAGAGGCGCTTTGGATGTGAAGAAATACATGGTCATTGACAGGTAGCTGGATATTCAATTCTCCTGCTCCCTGGACACAGTCACCACAAAGCATCTAATAGCTTCCCTACCTTATGTGGCACATCTCTTGACATATCAGTGCATTAAAACTCTGACAAATTGACATTAACAAAATATCTGAAGATATCCAAAATGTTTTACCATGACACAAACAAGTGCACAACATACATAAACCACTTTCCAACTGCAGTTATGCTGCACATAGATGTGAGTTAGGCAACAAAAACAACAGTGTTGATGATGGCCACCAATAGAAATACCACAAAGAGGATGTTACTCATCTTCTGAGCATCCAAGTTGTGGAGTCTCTCTCATCTTGGACACGTCTAAAGCGTTATCCCCCTCTGTCTTGTCTGCCACAGATGAAGCTCTCTTGTGATCTCCCTGGAGTTGGTTGTTCCTGATCCTGAGGGTTGTTGTGACAGCCAGGAGTGCCAGGAAGCTTTGAAGCAGGATACAGATGAGATAGATCATGATCTTTGGAACTCTGGTGGATGTCCTTGGCATGATGTCATAGACAAAGTTGAGGAACACAGCATGTGACACAAAGATGGAAATCAGAAAGGATACTTTCTCTCCTGAATCGGCAGGAAGGATGAAGACAAACGCATTCATGATGGAGGTCAAGGCCATTGGAATAATGATGCTTAACACATAGAAAAGACTTTGTCTCTCAAGGGTCAAGATCACTGATTGGAGAGCAATTCCACTAAATGATGCAACTCCACTTGTCATTTGTATTAATGTCCATTCAGACTCCTTCTTTATATATGAGCTGTATTCATTATCGCGTATGGGGTTAACATGCAGGTTGATATAGTCTCGATAGGTATGAAAGATTAACTCACATTTCTGTTCATCGAAAGGAAACAGAAAGGCATCAGTCACACATATGGTCTTGAACATGTCGTTTGTTTGTGCGAAAATAGTGCCATTATGATTTAGACTCGTAATGAAGGATCTAGATGAGAATAGAGACGTGTCACTCACAGCGTTGAATAAATTAACTTGCGGTAGCCATACTTGATTAGGCTCAATGTCAATGTTACCATTGTAAAGTGACTTGTTCCAGGACAGACTAGGATCAGTCCAGAAAATGCTAATGTATGCAGTAAATGTTAGAAGTTGTTCCACATAATCAAGGTCCAATACAGCCCCAAGTACAAAGTAAGTAGAAACATTTACTTTCGAATGTCCAGGAGGAAATGGTGCCTTCTTGGCCCTTGTGTAATTAATGGAATCCAGGATTTCTGTCAACGTCTCCCTTAGCTGTTGGCAAGCCACGAGATTTGTGAGAAATATCCAATACAGGCGAAAAGACATTGTCACTGTCAGTTGTGTTTTGAAAGAAACTATCAGTTTCTATGAAGGCCAGACTCTCAACTGTAGTGTCATTGGTAGGCATTCATCCAGTGAGAAACATGATCACTGAGATTGTTTTACAAACTGCTGTAAGAGATGAATTTGCTTAATATAGAGAATGGTTTAGAATGTTTGGACAGACATAATGTGGAAGAATTGTCAACACAGTTGTTAGCTTACCTGTTCCCTGATGCGAGTGCCTCAGATGAGTGACAAGGCAATCTATATTTGCACACATAGGTGCCCAGGAACTTTCATTAGCAAGGATAATTCATCTCCTGGAATTGACTGAAATGGCTTTAAAGAGAACATTGTTAAACAAAAGAATGGTATCTCCACACAAAGTAAGGTTTCATAGGTTACTTCACAGGAACATTGTGCAACAAAGAAAGGTTTCATAGGTTACTTCACAGGCACATTGTGGAACAAAGAAAGGTTTCATAGGTTACTTCACGTGAACATTGTGCAACAAAGAAAGGTTTCATAGGTTACTTCACGTGAACATTGTGCAACAAAGAAAGATTTCATTGGTTACTTCTCAGGAACATGTTGAACAAAGAAAGGTTTGATAGGTAAGTTCACAGGAACATTGTTGAACAAAGAAAGGTTTGATAGGTTACTTCACAGGAACATTGTTGAACAAAGAAAGGTTTCATAGGTTTCTTCACAAGAACAGTGTGTAACAAAGAATGGTTTCATAGGTTATTTGACAGGAACATTGTTTAACAAAGAAAGGTTTCATAAGTTACTTCTCAGGAACATTGTTGAACAAAGAAAGGTTTCATAGGTTATTTCACAGGAACATTGATCAACAAATAGAATAGTCTACTGATTATCAAGTTTTTGAGCTGTGTTACCAGTTATATGAATGAGCAAAGAAAATGATCTTTTAACACATGTCAAAGGTTATGTTGAACTATATGTTTACATGCTAGATTTTCCAGAGACGTGTATGGTTGTCTATATAGACACATTCGCTGCCATATCCTCCAATCCAATTTAGGGGCCATACTTGTGCAGAATGTCTCATTTAAAGGAATGAATTTTGCATCTGTCTATTTGAATCAGACTCCAAACAAGGTTCTGATGACAAATTGGTTCAGTGTGTTTAGCATTACAGATTGGGGATATATCACATATATTTGAGTTTAACATGCATGCTGTCATGACACATGACACGTCAAAAGTTTCGATGGTCACACAGGTAACTAGAATGGTGTTTTTGGTGCTGTTGCTTCAGACATAGGCACATCGGGGGATATCGCTTTGTTATCCAGGCGAGCTATAAATTCCATTTGCTCTTGTTATTCAGAACATGTGAGTGTATATTTGTATTGATAATGGCAGTATGTGATTGTATTTGGCTGGCACTTAGAAATATTAGAAATGTGAAATAACACACTAAATTATAACAGGAAATGGACTCAGGTTTACATACTGATGTCAGAGGGGATTCTGATCAAACAGCCTTCATATAAGTAAACACTACAAATGGGATAATTATGGAAACGCACTGAGTCTGTGCTGTACTCGTAATGATTAAATGCTGATTTTTCTTTCAGTTGGTCAAATATATTGTGCCAGTACCAAACTCATTAACCTGCCTCATTAAGGAATGTTTAAGTGTTTTCCATTTGTTTGTTTGTTTTTCAGTTAGATCATGTTTCAATTGAGGACTGTGATTGTGTTTGGAGCGTGACTATGATCTGTCCAATATTTTCTATGTTTGTAAGCAAATGTTGTATTATATCTTTTACCATTCTGAAATGTTTGTTATTTTGTATGTTTAGGTCAAATCAGTGTAAGCTATATTTCCTCTGTTGAGCTCATAAACTTTTGATTATTCTATATCAGTAGTTTTCAAATTATGAACAAGGTCTTCAGAGAGACTGATTGAAAGTAGATTGCATTCAGCTGAAATCATTGCTGTATCATTGTTGTTTCTACTTGGGGACTTGTAGCTGATAATTTAGTTAGTTGTATTCCCTTAGTGATGTTCATGATCACAAGACAAAACTTTGAAGCAGGTGTAAAATGTTTAGTTGATCATCATTAGATTCATAGCAAATTGTGGAGTGAATGAAGTTATAGTTGAATGGTAATGTTATCATTACTAATGTAGAACAGTGTTGCTGTTTGAAGGGGAAGGATATTTGTGGTGGTGTTTTTGTTTAGCCTTACAGCGTATGTGCTGACTTTATAAATCAAAGAAATCAGTCTGAATTTGTTATATTAAATTTATGATATCTGTCTGTAATCATGGTGTGAAACATTTCATTTTAATTACTTATTTTACTTGGAGTGAACACAACGAGAGGTTTCCAAGGTTAATGTCTGTGACTTGTGTTGTAAGAGGCAGTCTCAGTGAACACAATGAGGTGTTTCCAAGGTTAATGTCTATGACTTGTGTTGTAAGAGGCAGTCTCAGTGAACACAATGAGGGATTTCCAAGGTTAATGTCTGTGACTTGTGTTGTAGGAGGTGGAGTGAACACAATGAGGTGTTTCCAAGGTTAATGTCTGTGACTTGTGTTGTAGGAGATGGAATGAACACAATGAGGTGTTTCCAAGGTTAATGTCTGTGACTTGTGTTGTAGGAGATGGAATGAACACAATGAGGTGTTTCCAAGGTTAATGTCTGTGACTTGTGTTGTAGGAGGTGGAGTGAACACAATGTGAGGTTTCCAAGGTTAATGTCTGTGACTTGTGTTGTAGGAGATGGAATGAACACAATGAGGTGTTTCCAAGGTTAATGTCTGTGACTTGTGTTGTAAGAGGCAGTCGCAGTGAACACAATGAGGTGTTTCCAAGGTTAATGTCTGTGCCTTGTGTTGTAGGAGATGGAATGAACACAATGAGAGGTTTCCAAGGTTAATGTCTGTGACTTGTGTTGTAGGAGCTGGGATACACCTTGTGGAGAAACTGAAGCGGAGTGAACAGAGGCGTCAGAAACGTTTACGGTACTCCCCGAGTGACTCCCAGCTTGAGATCAACCGACATCATTACTTCCGATACCGGCGCCTTAGTGGAGATGCAACCAAAGACACGTCTAAGACTGTGGAATGGGAAGGTACTTAATCAAGCAGTACGACTGCTGATCAAGTATACCGCTCAATGTTTGATAAGAACAATCAGATCCTATATCATTCTATTTAAAAAATCACATATTTCTGGAAACATTCTGCGTTTCATTGAAAATTTAAAAAATATCCTTATGAAAAGTTGAGTTGTATAGATGAAAACACACAAGCATTTTAAGAGTATAAAAATATCTTCACCTGATGAAATCTTATTTGGTCACGTGAAAATTTAATTCATTTGGTGGTTTCAAATGAACTAGAAAACACCCTACCAATTTCTATCCTATATGATACCAGATCTGTCAGCATGTTTGAAAAACATTCAACCTGTTTTATGTGTTTCTGTCCTTGATGTCTCATCAAAGAAGAATATTTCAAAAACTCTCTTGCTCGCTTTGATTGCCGACAGTAGGGCTTGTTGTTTGATTATGGTGTTACAGTATGACCTGGCCTTGAGAATGGGCAAAAGGTTATTACCGTTAACCTTATCTTCAAGGTCACCACGACAGTTTGAACACTGTTCAAACTCTTGTTAATACGATATCTCATGGACTGTGGAACCCAATGTCTTCAAATTTGGTGACAGCCTACATTGGGGGATTACCCAGACACCAGTTGATTTGGGTGACCTTGACCTTATCTTCAGGGTCACCACGACACATTGACCACTTTCCGAACTGATTTAAACGCGGTATCTCATAAAACATGGCACCCAATGTTTCAATTATTTGACAGCCTACATTGGGCGATTTTGCAGACACCAGTCATTTCAGGCATCTTGTATTTGACCAAAAAATTAAAAGTAGTAAATGTAGATATTCCATTCTTTAGCGGTGGGGGACATTGCCATATATCAGTGGCAAACACTTGTTATTTTGACTTGTACCTCTTAACATGAGTTTTTGCTAAGTGATTTATAAAATTTTATTGATATGAATTGTTGACAATATTGGCTAGGTGATTTATAATTACTGATATGAATTGTTGACAATATTGGCTAGGTGATTTATAATTACTGATATGAATTGTTGACAATATTGGCTAGGTTGTTTATGATTACTGATATGAATTGTTGACAATATTGGCTAGGTTATTTATAATTACTGATATGAATTGTTGACAATATTGGCTAGGTTATTTATAATTACTGATATGAATTGTTGACAATATTGACTAGGTTATTTATAATTACTGATATGAATTGTTGACAATATTGGCTAGGTTATTTATAATTACTGATATGAATTGTTGACAATATTGGCAAGGTTATTTATGATTACTGATATATGACAATATTGGCTAGGTTATTTATAATTACTGATATGAATTGTTGACAATATTGGCTAGGTTATTTATGATTACTGATATGAATTGTTGACAATTTGGGCAAAATAGTTGATGAACAGATGTATGAAACCATATGCAACTCGCTGGCATACCTAATCACAGGCTTTGTGTTCACAGAGGGCATCCACGAAATAAAAACCAAACGACCTCGTAGTTTGCCCAAAAACATCTTCCGAATCGCAAATGGCAAGCGAGTTTCCAGTCCTGGGAAGACACATGGACAGTCGACCAGCCCAGATCAGACATCTCCCACGAAGTCATCACCTCCAAAGTCTCTGCCAACCACTAAAGCTCAAAGCCAGGTCACAGACCAGTACAAGTCTCTACCCCCTGGTCTTGGAAATGATGCCTTAGTGCCAACTAGTCCTGGAAATGGAAATTTATTAGGTAGGACTTCTATAATTATTCTGATGTAAAACCTATTTGTATGATAATATCCAAATATCATAAGTTTATAACTAAATTTGTCCACATGTCACTCAGAGAATATTGTTACTCTCTCTGCAGCGTTCACACTCACGACCAAAACAGTTATTTAATGAACACTAGTTCATACCAGCATCCAGTTGACTGTAGTTGTATGAGTTCCTGATTCTTGTGTTACACTCAGTGAGAAAAGGCAGGCTTGTTTATCTTAGCTGCAATTTTCACTTGAACTGAAAGACATGTATATTGGATGGACATTTCTGATTTGAATGAGTGAGTGAGTGAGTATAGTTTTACACCGCTTTTAGCAATATTCTAGCAATATGGGCGGGAGACACCAGAAATGGGCTTCACACATTGTACCCTTGTGAGGAATCGAACCCAGGGCCCCGTTCCTCAAAGCGATCGTAGCGCTATGTTGATCGTAACTCTTATACTTTAACATAGACTTGTGACTGTCGTAGCGTTATGTTGATCGTAACTCCTATACTTTAACATAGACTTGTGACTGTCGTAGCGCTATGTTGATCGTAACTCCTATACTTTAACATAGACTTACGACTGTCGTAGCGCTATGTTGATCGTAACACCTATACTTTAACATAGAGTTACGACTGTCGTAGCGCTATGTTGATCGGAACTCCTATACTTTAACATAGACTTACGACTGTCGTAGCTCTACGATCGCCTTGAGGAACGGGGCCCAGGTCTTACGCGGAATGAGCGAACACTTTAACCACTATAGGTTACCCCACCGCTCCTCTGATCTGATGGTTGACAGATAACATATTAGGGAATATGGATAACAACATCTTAATTATGCTGTAATAACAACAGATCCTTATTCCGTTGTTAAGAAGGACTGGACTTGCTTGCCAACAGTGTTAGGATGTATAGAAAAACATTGCTATTACAGTGAAACATGGGTGATATGCACTTTTTGTCTACTTTCTAAGGTATGTGTTGTGTACAGGAAAAGCCTGGACATGTGGGCCATCTGTTACTGTCATAAAGAATATTATTCTTCCCATATACATGTTCATTTTGTCCATACCCATGAAGATCCGGGTTAGAAGTGATCTAGAAGGCGACTAACTGGATCGGGTGGTCAGACATGTCATCGTAGATCAATGCTTATGCTGTTGATCACTGGATTGTCTGGTCTAGACTCGATTATATACAGACAGCCGCCATATAGCTGGAATATTGCTGAGTGTGGTGTAAAACTAAACTCCTTCACTTTTTTTCACCAAGCGAAAAGTATTTTCCATTTCTGAAGAAATGTTTTCAATGACCTTCTCGATATAGTCTCAGCCAACACCTGACGTCACACAAGCCACTTTCATACTGTCCATCCTGTAGGCCACAAACTGACCGATGACCTGACTGTCAAGTAAAGCTATGCACCAAACGTTTTTCTATGTTACTAGTCAGAGATATGCTGCTTCAAACAATATGTTATGTTTCTGGAAACTGTTTCAGACACACCAGTATTTGAACACTCTGTAGTCGAATTGGAAGAATGGAAACAGACGACTCTTACTGGTGCCAATATCCCCTTCAGCCCTTCTGACCCACGCAGGAACTCTCTAGACAAAGTTGGGAACACTCTGGATGAGCCTCGAGGTACATCCATACACACTGACACTTGCAGCATACACTGAAACATTGATAGATTCACAACACATAGTACACACATTAACACACATTATATCCATTTACACATAGTACACACATTTACACACACCAGCACTCATTTACACACATTAGCACTCATATTTACACACATTAGCACACAACACACATTTACACACAGTCGATACATTTACACTTAGTACACAGCATACAGTACACACATTTACACACACGAGCACACATATTTACACACTTTAGCATACAACACACATTTACACACAGCACAGTACACACATTAACACACAGTCGATACATTTACACAGAGCATATAGTACACACATACACACAGCACAGTACACACATTTACACACAGTCGATACATTTACACTTTCTACACAGAGCATACAGTACACACATATACACACACGAGCACACATATTTACACACTTTAGCATACAGTACACACATTTACACACAGCACAGTACACACATTAACACACAGTCGATACATTTACACTTAGTACACAGAGCATACAGTACACACATTTACACACAACACACACAATCCAGATAGTTTAACAGAAGACAGAATCATCAGCATTATTTGGCTGATTTCACTCACTGTCACTTTGTCATTATTGGCTGAAAAAAAAGAGGAAGCTTCTAAATCACAACAATGCTCAAAACAAAATCTTTTCTTGATCCTGTGTCAGTGCCCTTTGTTATGTGATGCATCACTGACAACAATCACTCCTGATGCAAATCCCAATGTTGACTTGCACAATGTGTGCGTTTGTTTCTTTTAAATAAATTATTAATAATAATAATGTGTCCATTTATATAGCGCCAAACTCCACACTAGGCATGCTCATAGAGCTAACAATCAAGGCACAGCACATTATTACCCCGGATAACCCAAGCTGCCTGTTAGGCGCTAGAAGGTTATAGTCATATGACTTTTTGCACCGGGTACCCATTTTCTGCTGGGTGAACAGAGTCAATTTTGAACAAACTCACTTGCCTAAGGTGAGACCACATGTGTCACATGTGCTTCGTTGTGGGGCAGGACTCACGTCCTAGAAACTCTCAGGAGTCAAGCTGCCAAACACTGTCACCCATCCAAGGACTCTCTGAGCTCGATGCTGCTTAACTTCACCGATTTGGTACCTGAGCTTTGAGCACAGGACCACGCGCCGCCACTGATTGACTTGCCTTTACATGTGTTTGTGCTGGGTTGCAACCAACTGATGACTATTTTACAATGATTCATAAACCCATGCTTATAAGACAGTGTACTATTGTCTCAGTGTGGAGCTGACATCTACTGTGGAGATGGGTATTGTCATTGTTTATTTATATTCCTTGACTTCAGTGAAAAACTAATTAAATTGCCACGTCAGTGGGCCTTGCATTAATTCATTGCCCCAACAACTACTCATCATCTGTCCAGTTTTGAAGTGATGAGCTCATAGGCAACATTTATTTGTCAGAACATGTAATCCTTTGTTATTAGAGTTTACAGTCTATAATTCCCATTGTTTGCATATTTTCAGGAAAATGGCTGAGAAAATACTCTCCAGTGAAAAAGGAACAGAGTGATGATTATGTTCAGCAAGGGACCAGATCTTTCTCTGACTCCTTCACGGACTCTGGACAGTCCTATAGCTCTGAGGTGAGACTCGACATACCTTGGAAAGAACATTTTTGAGTAATTCCCACAGATCATGACTAATGTATTTCCAGAGGCAGGACGGGGTCCTACTGCCCTGTGATAGGACTCATCCTGCCCAGGGCAGATCCCAGAGTCAGGGTAGTTATGTGGCTCAGAGGTAGGTCTCATCCTGCCAAGAAGAAAGGATAATGTGTAACTTATTCCCAGAGTCAGGGTAGTTATGTAGCTCAGAGGTAGGACTCATCCTGCCCAGGGCAGATCCCAGAGTCAGGGTAGTTATGTGGCTCAGAGGTAGGACTCATCCTGCCAAGAAGAAAGGATAATGTGTAACTTATTCCCAGAGTCAGGGTAGTTATGTAGCTCAGAGGTAGGACTCATCCTGCCCAGAAGAAAGGATAATGTGTGACTTATTCCCAGAGTCAGGGTAGTTCTGTAGCTCAGAGGTAGGACTCATCCTGCCCAGAAGAAAGGATAATGTGTGATTTATTCCAGGAGTCAGGGTAGTTCTGTAGCTCAGAGGTAGAACTCATCCTGCCCAGAAGAAAGGATAATGTGTGACTTATTCCCAGAGTCAGGGTAGTTCTGTAGCTCAGAGGTAGGACTCATCCTGACCAGAAGAAGAAGCCATGAGTGACATATTCCCTATAGCTCTTAGGATGAGAGTTAGTGAGTAACTTGGACTGAAAATGCCTTTCAGCAGTAAACCAGTTTTATCTCAGCATGTGAGCGTAATGCGAGAGTAGAGATGTAAGTGATGCAGGACAGAACCACTGTGATGAAACAGTAAGCCTGTGGGACACTTGTAGCCCAGTTTGTGTAGAGTGGAGTCTGGTGGGCATATCACAAACATATCGCTGTGTCTGTTTGCCACGATGATATTCATGCTTCGTCAGCCTAATACCAAGCCACAATTTGTTTCATCTCAGCAGTAAACATCTAGGTTTTATTTTTTCCTAACTCTATATGAACATCAACATTCAAATGATATATGAGTGTTTGAAATCAATTGAAAAATATCGTCCAAGATCAATTTCAAAGTGCAAATGTTTTCCCAATCAGTATTAGAACCGTATAGATCAGGTTAATAAGCAGATGCTCTACCTCACAGCCACCGAGCCAACAAAGTCCTTGGGGCTGAATTATCTATTTATAGTTACTGTCATTAAATTTATTTTACTTGCGCTTCAGTTATTGTTATGTAGCTTCATTAAATGATCATCTACATTATAATTATCCATCATTGACGGTTTATATGTTAGGGAAAACACTTCCCCTCGGTTTTGGTAGAGAATGTAAAACCTAGGGAGGAGGGAAATCCTCATTCTCTACCAAACCCGAGGGCTAAAGCCCCTCGGGATTTCTCTCCTCCCAAAGTTTTACATTCTCTACCAAAACCTCGGGGGCATGTTTTCTCCTATACTAAACATCTGTGACCTGCATCACTTTGGCCATGCTTCCTTCGACAGGCTGACCCACAACATACAAGGAATACTGTTCAAAGCAAAATCCATTATGCAACATTGTTTCATTGTTGATCAAAATAAGGACATTAATGTTTTAGGCTCATTCTTTCCATGCTGATATGAGATAAAACTATTAGCATACAGTCAATAGGTGCCAGTTCTTAATGATACATGATATCTGATTTTCAGGTTTCAAACAGAAGCACAGTGTCAGAATCCGGTAAGCACTAGTTTGTTGTATATGTGTATATGAGTTTTAAGTGGAATTTTAAAACATATGGAATGAATCAGATGTTACCCAAATTCATTTTGAAGGTACAGTATGTTAATAAGTGTTACATTTGAATACCCTTGCATTTTGTATTGCAGTTGTCTTCATGTACAGGTTCTTCAGGGCAACAATGTCTTGTGATGCAGGGGGTTTGATTGTGAGGCAGGGTAAAATGGAAATCTAAAACTTCACGTGACAATAAAAAAAAATTGAGAAAAAAGTTAGTGTCACTTCATGGCGACCAAAAATCAATGGAGAGCTTTGTGATTTTGCTCCGCATTGAAACTCACCATGGTGATATAAGGAGTGGGCTTTTGCTACATATTTGCATATCAACAAAGAGATAAGCAAACCAAGTATTTGATTTTCACCATGAATGTTGATATAAGTCTCTGGAGAGCTAGAATTGGCTGTTTTTGTCCTCACAGCCGACGACCACGTTGGTTTTACCCCAGTATACGGATGCCCGGTGGGATGCGTGTAGGATGTTGCCTGTTGTTGTTGATAATGACTTTACTCATTGTATCTGGAGACGTGGAATCAAACCCAGGACCTCCTAAAACACCACATTCAGTCTCAGATGTCATCGTTGAATGACAAGTTCGACAAGTTTCGTAACGACATCAGCGAAAAATGACATACATATCACATTCTGGATCTAGTGTTGTTGACTATTTTATTCTTTCTTCAAATATATTTGATAATATTGTCGATAGGAAAGTTTGGCAACGCACTGAGTCATACCACCTTCCATTGGTGTGCTGTTTTAAGAATATTATCCCATCAGTAAGTAATAATGAGATTCCGAATTCACAAAAAATTGAACCATATTCAAGGATAAGTTACCGGCTTCCTCGGGATTGTCAAATTCCATATCAAAGTTATCTCCGCAGTAAATATGTCATAGATATGTTTAACACATTTACTTTATTACTGGAGGAAAACATCAACACTGTTGTAAGACAGAAAATATTTTCTGTTGAACAAATTCAGAAAATTTAAATGTGATTTAAACTTACAATTGTATGGGGATGCCAAAAATGAATATAAATAATGTTGTGAAAAGAAAAAGCGTTCTTATAATACCAAAATATGTGATGATATAAAGAGGTCTGCTGAACATGGAGATTGTAAGAGTTTTTGGAAGACATTAAAGAAAGTTATACGTGGAAATGTTCCAAGTTATTCGATGTCTCCTGATATTTGGTACGATTATTTCAATAATTTGTTAAATCCGAAAGTTGAAAATGTTGATGTAAACAATTTTGATTCTTTTGTTTCCCAGTATATTAATTCACATTCTTGTGAAGATTGTAATGATTTGTCTTTCACGGATGATCTTTTGTCAGGTGAAATAACAGATAGAGAAATAGTAGATGCTCTGAAAAATTAAAATGTGGTAAATCTGCAGGTGAGGATGGAGTACCCCCTGAAGTTTTCAAGATGTCGGGAAATTTCATTGTACGTTATTTGAAACTTCTTTTTAATCGTATCTTAAATATTGGCGATTTTCCAGAATCATGGAATATAAGGTATGATTTTGGGTAAACGTTCTGACCCCAACAATTATAGAGGTATTTCCATTCTGAATGTTACAGGTAAATTGTTCACTATTGTTATAGAAAAGCATCTTAGAATTTGCTTAGATGTAAATGATCTTATGTCAGAGTATCAAGCTGGTTTCCGCCAAAATTACTCAACAGTTGATAATCTATTCATTTTGCAAGCATTGTGTTCAAAATATTTATGTAAGCCAAAAGGCAGATTTTATTGTGCTTTTATCGATTTTAAGAAAGCTTTTGATTACCTTGATAGAAAAAAATTGTTGTATGTACTGCTTACTAAAGGCTGTCATGGAAAATTGTATAAGGTCATTAGAAATATGTATTCTTCTGTAAAGACTTTGTCTTAAACCTTCATCTGGTAGAACTGAAGGGTTTTCCACTTCTAGTGGTGTGAGACAGGGTTGCATATTAAGCCCAGCTTTATTTATCTTTTTCAATAATGAACTTGTAACAGAGTATATAATGAGTGTAGTTATGGTGTATTTGTGACACAGGATATTGTTGACTTAATGTTACTTCTTTTTTGCTGATGATGTTGTCATGTTTTCATATACTGTTAATGGCCTGCAGAAACAATTAAATGTACTGTCTTTCTTTTGCAAGAAATGGGGTTTAGAAGTCAACTTACAAAAAACAAATGTCATTGTATTCAGAAATGGAGGAAAAATTGCTAAACATGAACACATATGACAATGTTCCTTTAGAAATTAAGACATATTATAAGTATTTAGGATTAGTTATATCTTCTAGACTAGCATGGTCAGTATCTTGTAAGCAATTAGAACGTCAAGCATCTAAAGCTGTTATTTATATATATTTTTAACAAAACTTGTAACTGTTCCATTTTCTACAGCATGTTCTATTTTTCATGGTAAAATTGCACCGATTTTGTTATATGGTGCAGAGATATGGGGCACTAAATATAATGAGGCAATACAAAAAGTCCAATCATTTTATTTTAAACGCTTTTTTATGGGTTGGGAAGTTTGCTTCAAATAAGGCCATTTTAGGCGACCCAGGGTGTTATCCTCTTTTCATTCTCAGCCAAGTTAGAGTGGTTAAATACTGGTGTAAATTACTAAAGATGGAACTACAACGATATCCTTATCAATGCTATAATTTATTAAAAACTCTTGATGATAATGGTAAGACCAGTTGTAATTGGGTTTCAAATGTTAGATCTTAGCTTTTTACTTGTAATCTTAATCTTTAATTTTAATCTTGTAACTAAGAACAAGACAATCAGTAACAGAAATGACCAATGACCGCAACTGTGGTGAATACAATAGCACTGCACATTTCTTTAACTGACTTAACTTGCTTATGTTATCAGAGTTTGATAATATTAAATGTCATAGATAAATACTTGAATTTATCAGGTCTATTTGGTCAACTCTATAATTAGGAACCTCACAACTGAACTGCTTATAATATATATTTTTCCCTTTTCAGCAATTCCTCATAATGTGTAAATACTGGTAGCAGTGACAAACCTCACAAGATATCAGTCCAGTTAATAGCTCCATGAACTTGTTTTAAAGGTTATTCAGACGTATAGATGTAACAATGTGTCAGTTAAAATTTGATTTAATCTGTGAGCCAATTATGGAAGCCATGTAGGTGAGCTACAGAACCTGTTTCTGATAGGAAACTTATGTTTACAACTCTACATACGTAGATATGACCACTTATGTATGACCCCTTGCCATGTGTTAGTGTCAGGCAAAAAAAACAATCAGTGTTTCTTCCTGTTGTTTCAATGAACTTTTCCCCTTTTCCCCATTTCCAAATTTGGGTATTCTTCTCTGTGGGACCATCGCCAGTCTTTAAGGCTGTAATCCATGGTACACACACCCTACACTGTGTGTACAGTGTCTTTGTTGCCAGGGGCTTGAAATGTACTTTTAACACTCTGCTGTTCACAAGTTAAATTTTACATTTTTAGTCCGGTGTCTCTGGTTGCCATCTTTCATTCCTGTTTTGATCCCAAGACCATCTCCACAAAAATGTTGTTAGAAAAAAATAGAATAAATTTGGGTCAGCTTGCTTATTTCAAATCTGAAATTGATGAAACCATTTCTTCTCATTGTGTTTGAGAGGTTTTGTGTGTACACAACTCATCTGGCCGAGATAAAAGACTAGTCCGCGTGTATTTCTGACCGACTTGTGATAAAATCTATTCGGTTGTTCAACTGATAATGTTTATGACACATTTCAAATTTAAAAAGAATCTTTATAAAAACATTTATCTGTTATCAGTTGAAGTATTGCAAATACTGAACTCATGCAATTTGGTTCGTCAGTGAAACAGATCAGCACGGGGCACACATGTGAGCTGGTTGATATCAACAAGCTGTGGATGCTGATCTGCGTGAAGTATGTCATGAAGATTAAAGCACTTGACATGCTCGTGATGGTTCTGATCCATGAAGTGACTTGGTACACTTGTGTGAAGCACGTACATCTGTACAGTATAAGTTGTACAAAGTGACATTGTAATCATGACTCATGTTGCTGGACCATTGTTTCCTCAGATAATTAGATCGTGTTAACAATGGCAGGTGTTTGGTGTGGAACGTGTGGTGCCATGACCGATCAGCTACAGTCCCAGTAATATGAGTGTGTGAGTGAGTGAGTTGTTTTTTACTCCTCTTTTAGCAATACTCCAGCAATATCACGGCTGGGGACACCAGAAATGGGCTTCACACATTGTACCCATGTGGGGAATCAAACCCGGGTCTTCGGTGTGACGAGCGAATGCTTTAACCACTAGGCTTACTACCCCCCAGTAACATGAAGTGCTATCTTTGAGTAGTATATAAAGTAGAATGGCCTTGAGTGATTCACACCAGAGAGGTTCTGAATGTCAATCAAACAAACATGATGAGATCAACCTGTTCCATATATCATCATGTTGCTCTTTATCTGTCAATAAGTGTGGTTGTCGTTCAACATGGGCATGAATATTTTTATAATGTATAGTTTTTATCAAACACTTATATTTATTGTGTACTTAATTTGAACTTTCTAAACACATTCACTCCGCTGGGTACAGCAGATCGGCCAGAATGCTTTTCATTTTGGTTTGTAAGTTAAAAGTTTTTAAACTTCCAAGATAATGTTTAAGCATTTAAGTCTGTGCAGTAGGAACACCGAGAACTAGTGATAACTAGGATTGAACAGAGTACAAATATTGTGAACTTTACTAATACAAATTGTGAACGGGGACAGATGATTTACATGGCATCTTCATGGTGATGGAAGGTTACACTAAGTTGGCTGTTGGAACCATGTAAGATGTCAACACAATATATTGATCTATCTTGTTTATCAACCCAAATAGTTTTTGTTGGATTTAAAGGCAAAAAGGCTGTGAAAATTATA